GACAGACACCTGTGTCTCCCCGCGACACCCCAGGGTACAAGCGGAAGAAAAAAAGTAAAAGTAAGTAAGTTCACTGCACCAAATTGAAGCAAGAGCGAGAGCATTATTGTATGACCTATAGTGTGGTACGAAAGAGCTGCCACTCTTTGTTACATCGTAATACGTTTAGTTCTTGAAGGGGTGCGGGAGGTACAGGTATACTAACTTTGCCATTTTGACACAGAATGTGTTTTTATCTTCTCTTCATCTTATGGCATTACAATGTTCACAGACGACACTGAATTCACCACAGTCAAGTGTCCGTTATCTTCGATCAACTTCAGTTTCATTAAAGGACTGTGTGGTGCACGCTAAGGCCAACGTTGGCCCATTCTTTCTTGGCCTAGCACGCTTAAGGTCTTCCTCCAGATTCTGATTATTAGAAGATAAGTTCTGATTGATAGTCGCCTTTCTCCGTTTCCTCTCGCTTTCACCCCTATTTCATGGGGTTTAAAAAACTCTACACTTAGTGGGCATCTTACTACATTGTTAACTAATATTCCATGGGAATCTTTACTCCGAACAGATCTCGATCTAGATTGACATCTTCTTGCTAACCACTCCAAATCAGTCTTGAATTCTGTGCTCCAAATGCATCTAGGATATAGGTATAGAGATCAAGATCTAGAACCTCACTCTATAAAAAAAAAAAAAAACTACGCAGAAAATAAGCTCTAAATTTGGAAAACGTCAATACAACAAAGTGAACATTTTGGGGGTTCAAACGAACTCATCGTGTTGGGGACATCACTACACCCAGATAGATATCTATATCTAAAAATAGTCAAAGCAATGAAGTTTAATCTCAAGTACCCATCGACACAGCGAAGCAAACACCCATACAGAGTTGGATATCGAGATTCTATACCTGGAAACAGTAGAAGAGGCAGCTTTGTAAACACGGAGTAGAACTCTGTGGCACACACACGACAACGCACAAACCGCAGTTCTGTTCTTGCTAACAATCCAAATCAGTCTTGAATTCTGTGCTCCAAAGAGAGAGAGAGAGAGAGAGAGAGAGAGAGAGAGAGAGAGAGAGAGAGAGAGAGAGAGAGAGAGAGAGAGAGAGAGAGAGAGAGAGAACCCGTCTTTCCATCCCCTGTACCATGCTGGTTCTGCCACTTCCTCTGAAGACGCCCAGGTCTTCAAATAGTGGCAGAGTGAAAACATCTGAGAGCTTCGATCTACAGGAAAAACTATCA